CATAGGCGCGGGGGATTGCAATCCACGTGCCCTCCTGGGGGGAAGGTCAGGGGGCTCCGTGGATGATTGTCGCCAAAAATGTTGCATATCGCCGAAATTAAAAAAACTCTGCAGCTATCGACGTATCTCGACGAGGCGGTCACGACTATCGTTGTTTCACGTTCCCATTCTTTCTCGAGAAAAAGTTATCGCACAAAACGTAATTGGACAAATTGTCGTGCACGGACCGTACGAAAAAATACACTGAAAAGTGTACAACTCTACATGCGCTGAAAAGTGTAGTACACGTCGTGCATGTCTCGCCACGAGAAATGGGGGGACTGTCGCCATAATAAACAGGACGAAAACACGCACATGCTGTATTGGATGTTACGCCTGCATTCTAACTCTCACCTCTCTGCCATCGACCGACAGGGGCCAGAAGGCTGTGGCCGAGGTAGTTCTCACGGTGGACATCTCCCTTCACATCTTCCCACTTGAACTGATCCTGACCACCACGAGTACCGCCAACGCGATACCGCTTATCGCCCATTGTTTCAGTTTCCAACAGCAGCAGCAGTACCCCAGGACCACCTCCCTTGCGTCTTCTTCCCGTCTGTGGGGCAATGTTGTGTTTGCTAGACACTATTGACGAATACCAGTAGACGTCAAATGTCGACAGCTCTCGCACAGCAAACACCGACCAACTCGATACTCGTTATTCACAGCAGGGTGGCGCGACGTTGTGCTGTGTGCAGTCACAGCAGGGTAGTCAGCAGTGGCAGCAGCACAGCACACTGGAGGCTTTGGAGCTCCGCAATTTGCAAAATTGTTGCATCCAGCAGGAGGAGCCGGAAAGGGGCCACGCCAAGTGGAGAGAGGAAGAGAGCCACAGCGAGCAACAGCGCTGCAGCAGTGATGACACTTGGCGGACGGAGGGATGAACAACCGCGTGGTCAAAGCCTGCATCGCGGCGGGGTGTTCGGTTGCAGGGCCGGTTTTGGCATTTTCGGCCTCAGGTTTTGGCGTGAAGGCGCTGGACAGCAGTGACGGTGTGTCGTTATCTACTCAGAGGTATGTAAATTCAAGCGGTGTCTTCGACTGGAAACGCTCTGCTATCTACAGCAATAGCTCCGAACAGCAGTAGTCTGCATCGTGAGCTGCTCTACAAGTCGTCGCTCCCCACAGTGTCCCGTAAACCACCACGATGGTCAACGTGCGAATTGCCTCTGAGTACCAAGAACAAACCAATGGTTCTGCGGATGATCGGATGTTGGTGACAACACTAATTTGAATTGCACAAAACATCCTCCAGCAGTACAAGCGCCGTGTCCCTCTCCACCGTCCCGCCCGGAGATTTGCAAATTGGTGCTATGGCAACTCTTAGCAGGAAACAGTTCGTGTCTTGCGGCTGGCATCTGTCGGCTTCATGCCGCATGCCCGACTTTGATGTTTGTTGGTAAGTTTTTCATTTCGATGAACTCAAAGGTGAACAAGGTCACCGGGAGATATCCGTCTTACTGTTAGGGGTGTCAAAGCGGCGGAATTTGGGGCCAAAAAAACGTCCGGTCCATTCGGCAAAATTTGAGGGGGGCACGCGGATTTGGTTCTTTTTTGGTTCTTGAGAATCCCGCTGTTAATACTGAATAAACTATACATCAAGTCAATTTGTTTGTACAGGTAGCTCTGCGTCCACACAGCAGGATGGCTCTTCATGCGTTACACACACCTTGATACAGGTCCAATAGAGGTGACTATTGGATTGGATTCTCTTGAAGTTAAAGGGCGGACGAACAACACCAAAAAAACATGGTTCTTTGGGCTCTTTGCTCCACGCCCAAGGCGACCTTTGCTCCTCTTGAAAAAGCGACCCAATAGCCCTCTACCTTGGGTTTACAGCTATACTACACAACAAACCGCATCCGAATCGCATCAGCCAACCACGAGATCTACATGTCTGAAAACGGCCCCTCCAGTGGGGCTGCAGCACCCACGCCAGCAGACCCCAAAAAAAAAAATCGAGATCCACGCCGTTCGGCAGCAGGAGGCGCGCCCAGCGAAAGCTGAAAAAAATCAAAACTAAGTTTGAAGAGAGGACGGGGATGTCTGTGGCTGAGGCGTCAGCAGCAGACAACACCCGGCGCGCTATCGAGCGCGGCGGCATCACCGCCGCGCAGAAAGCGCTGGAAAGAACGAAGGAGGAGCTGGCCGAAAGTAGGAAAAGTGAGGAAGAGAGCAAAGCTGGTTGCAGCATGGCTCNCTACAACCCATGTCTAAGCAAAAGCTTGTCGAGGAGCGAGGGGAAGAACTAGTGTAGTCAACCAAAACATGTACGAACAAGTGGTTGATGTGTTTTTAAAAGAAAAAAACTCCGCTGCCGCCGCTGCTGCTGCTACTTCTCCTCTCCTCGTGTTCCAGACGAAGAGAGCCAAGGCGCGTGTTGAGAAGGTCAACGCTAACGAACCGGAGGAGGAACCGGAGCAAGCGGCACCTGGGGAGGAGAAGGGAGAGGGTGGTGGGGAGTTGCTCTCTGCAGAGGACGAGAAGAAGGTGCTGATGCGCGCCATCAAAAAGAGGCTCAAACCCGGCGGAAAATTTGGTGAGACTGCTGCACGGCTGTTTAAGAGCTTCGTGGAAGGGGGGGTGTCTCTCAACATGACTCCGCAGCTACTTCAGTCTACCGTATTCCACGCCACGGGTGTAAAATTGAAGCAAGATCTCAACATCACGTGTGCGCGCAACACGGTAAAGGTTCTTGCTTTCGGCATTACGCAGCTCGATGGCGAGGAGTTGGTCGAAGCAGTTCTCAGGGCGCCCTTTTTGTTGATTGCGGGTGACGAGTCGCTCCGCAACGGGGACAAGAAGTTCCCTGTCTTCGTCGCTTTTCACGACGTGGAGGCGGACGCGCCGTGGTTTGGCCTGTTGCGCGTATGCAGCATGAAAGACAAAACGGCAGAAACGCAGGCTCAGCTGTTTTACGAAACGATCGTCGACACGCTTGGCTACCCAAAACACCAGGTGCTCTTCGTCTTGAGTGATAACACCGCATCTGTTTCCTCCGAGGGGAAGGGTCGTGTGAAGCTGTTGCAGAGGAAGCTACGGGGTGAGGAAACCACCAAGAAATCNGTGGTTTGGCCTGTTGCGCGTATGCAGCATGAAAGACAAAACGGCAGAAGCGCAGGCTCAGCTGTTCTACGAAACGATCGTCGACACGCCTGGTTACCCAAAACACCAGGTGCTCTTCGTCTTGAGTGATAACACCGCATCTGTTTCCTCCGAGGGGAAGGGTCGTGTGAAGCTGTTGCAGAGGAAGCTACGGGGTGAGGAAACCACCAAGAAATCCACCAAAAGAGCTACAGGGGGAGCCAGCAGCAATAGTGGTCGTGGTGTTCAGCCACGAAACGCACCGGCGGCGGCGGGGCGGGCGGGCGGGGTGGGGCCGCGGGCAAACAAACGCCAAAAAGCCAGCGGCGGCGGCGGCGCCGCCCCCCCCGAGGGAACGGACAAAAGGCAACGCAAAGGGAAAGGCGAAGGGGGGGAGACAGGGAAAGGGAAAGGGAAAGGGAAAGCAACGGCGCCGCCTCCTCCAGCAGCCACCAGGACGAGTGGTCGCCAAAGGACGCAGTCATTTAGAGCCAAGGAGGGGGATGGGGGGGGCAGCTCGGAAGAGAGCGGGTGTGAGAGCTAAATAATTTCAGAAATGGTGTGCAGCTTTCAGTCGTTTGGTACGTGAGCTCTGCGAAGATGCTCTCGTGTCTAGCTGCAACGTTATGTCATATGTTGGATGCGTTGTGTGATGTGGAGCTCGCATGGTAGTGGGGGGGATTGTTTTCGTTGGTTTCCTTCGAGTTGGCGTGAGGTGTTTGACGTTTGGTTGGAGTTAAACGACAATAAGCGCGATTTTTGGTGCGTCCTCTTGCGTGTGAGCACGCACGACTACACGAATGTTAAAAAGCATGATGGTGTGAGAGACAACATACGGTCGGTACCCGACCTTGTCGGTGCAGCCGCCTGAGCTGCAGTCTTCGCTTGTACACATGGTGCACACGGAGAGGCAGAGTGAAACATGATTTGCGGCTTGATTTTGTTCAAAGTTGCAAAATCCACGTCACTCAAAACCCACGTCACTCAAAACCCACGCGTCACTCGGACTCAGACAATTCTGCCGCGGTCACCCGCGGCCGCCGACTCCCTTCCTTCTCGAACACAAATTTTTGTTTTTTCCTTTGATGGCTGCCTGCCACCTCTGCTGCCTCTTTGGTGCGGTGCCTACCCTACACTAATGCGCTGGTGCATACTGCACTGCTGTAGTACCTGGTACTGGTGTACGTTGTCCTTCGATTTTTTATTTTTTTGTGGGAATATATATGTGTTTGTTTTTCGCCCCCCGTCTTGCTGCACCCCCTGGGGTGTGGTGCAGGGCGGGGGATGCCTGGTCGGCGGGAACCCGGCACGGAACCCTCCGGCGTTGTAGGCGGGTGTGGGAAGCGTTCCCCGTTCTCCTTTTATTTTATTTTGATCGGTCTCCTCGACGCTCTTTCTCGTTTGGTGCGGTAGCTGGTCTTTCTTTCTATCATTTTGTTTCTCTTCCGAGTGGTTTTTGTACCCTATTTTTTTCTGTTTCTTCGTGGGGTCGTGTATGCCGGGTTTTGAGACCACGGGCTCCCAATTTTGTTTTTTAGAGCTAATGTGAGAAACAACAACAACAACAACAACATCCAGCAAATCGAAAAACTCACGACCGACTGCATCATCCCACAACTCNCTTCGTGGGGTCGTGTATGCCGGGTTTTGAGACCACGGGCTCCCAATTTTGTTTTTTAGAGCTAATGTGAGAAACAACAACAACAACAACAACATCCAGCAAATCCTCTGCAGCTTCCGGTTCCAACACTCTTTTTCTGCTTAAGTTCTCGGCCGGTTTGCGTGCGTGGGAGATAGCCTTTGCTTCCGTTGCCTCCGTTAGAACCTTGTTGCCGGCGCCACTAATTTGGTCACCGGTTGCATCGGCGCACACGATATTCCTAGACTCCGCTGATTTCCACCCCCCAACACGAGCAATATCCATCTCAGCCATGTCTGTTTTCTTTGCGCATGAGTCTTACTTCGAAAAGAAGGCCTCGATCAACTGCTGGTGAATGGGAACGAAGTAGAATCGGTGACATACCAACTGGTATAGGAGGGGAAAATCGAGCAGACGCGCCAGCTCTGACGTACTCTTCGGTGCACTCTCGTCAATCTCCTTGTTACCCCACCCAGAATTCGCATACTGCTCGAGTTCACTCCTCACAGAAAGATCCCCATCAATACAGGAAAACAGCCCGAAAGTCAACTCATCTTTCCTTCGTGCCTCGGTGGTTCCCCCCAAATCCTTCACGAGCTGCGTTCGGTACTCTCTCTCCCTCTCCGTGCGTGGCTCTCCCTCGTATAGACCAGGCCACGCTACATGGAGGAAAGCACGCGCAAACTCCGGCCCCACCGCCTGCTCTACAGCCCCCCCCCCCATTATTCCTGTCCGAGCGTAAAACGAGGGGCATCCAATCCGCGCCATGCTCAGAGGTAGCTCCTGATGCCGCTGCATCCACTTGATCCATCGCTTCTTGAACTCGGCAAAAAAAACCCTGTCCTCGCTGAAGGCCAACATGAAAAATTTCACCTGCAGCATCAGGACAACGCCATTAGCGACCAGTTTATGCGGCAAAGGCATTATTAGTGTTATCATAGCATGACCATCGCAGCAGCAGCAGCAGTAACCACCAGCACCAGCCGTTACAGGCAGAGAGAGGTGGCAGCACGAAGCTGAAAAACATGGCGGAAGGGAGCGAGCATGGAAGAACAAAATCGTGATGACGGCCGTTCGTACAGCAGCAGTTCTGCTGTGCAGCGGTTGCCTTCTAGCCACAACCCCGCTATAATCCAAACTGCAATACTGAGTCCCGCCACCACTTACCATCGGGTCACTCAGGGTAGCTCGAACGCGGTCTAGCAGCGCCGCGAAGTACGTCTTGGGATCCTTGCGGATCGTCTCCAACTTTTGGAGCAGCAGGCGAGAGAAGTCAGCCACCTCCACCAAACGCATCCCAGGAAACAGCCGCCGATCGACCCCTTCGCCCTTCAGAAAGAACCCCCCCTTGCCATGAATCCAGTTGTACGCCCAGTCGAACAACAACTCTTTGAGCCTTGCCGTGAACATGACATGAACATGAAAGAAAGGATCTCGAAGCATGTACGCCGACTGGACCCAGTAGTTTCTGACAGTCGTCTTGTTGAGGTTTCTAGCGAAGTCGCAAAAAAGCCGCTCGACCTGCTCCCAGCGTTCACAGAGGAGCTTGGCTCCGTCTATAACCACCATCCAACGCGTCTCGGTCTGATGAACTTGATGAGCCACGGCTTCGCGTTAGGGACCTGCGCCGCCACTACCCTTTTCCACCGCTGAAAATATCAGGGTACACCTCGGGACTATTCCCGCCGTTTTTTTCCCGCCGTGGTGGGCGGTCCCGGTACTGGCGGGAATTACCGCCACATTCGGGTGGTACCGGGAACCGCCGAAGGCGGTACCGCCGAAAAACGAAAAACCGCCGACCGCCTAAAAAATACCGCCACTTTGCAGTACCGCCGAAAAAGTACCGCCGAAAAAACGAAGTACCGGGAACCGCCTAAAAAGAACCGCCATATTGCAGTACCGCCGAAAAAGTACCGCCACTTTGCAGTACCGCCGAAAAAGAACCGCCGAAAAAACGAAGTACCGGGAACCGCCAAAAGAGAACCGCCATATTGCAGTACCGCCGAAAAAATACCGCCGTACTCCAGTACCGCCAAAACGGTACCGCCATACTACAGTATTGCCCTCTAGAGTCTGTCTTGGACGCCATTTCGCGCAGATCAGTGGTTCGAGTCCAACTGGCGTGCGTCTTTGTTCACGTTTTTTCTTTTTTCTTTTTCTCTTTCGTCAT